GTCACACCCGGCATTGCACAGGGGTTACTCCTGGCCTCAGGAATTACTTCTGGCGGTGCTCGGGTGTCCATATGGAATGCTGGGTATTGAACCCGGATTGGCCGCGTGCAAGGCAAACGCCTTACCCGCTGTGCTATCGCTCCAGCCCCTATTCATATATTTTAATGATTCGTGCTTAATACAGTTTTTGTTTGGGGTTGGAGTGATAGTACGGAGAGGAGGGGCACTTGTCTTGCATGTGGCCACTTGGATTTGATCTCCAGCATTTTATATGGTCCCTTGAACACCACCAGTAGTAACCCCTGAGCATTACCAGGTGTGGCCCATAAAGCAAAACATTTAAACAATAAAATAAAAATTCAGTATCTAAGGAGCTGGGGTATGACTCAGGGGTCAAATGCAGGTTCTACATGTATCAGTCCTGGGTTCCTTCTCCAGTAATGCAAAACAAAATTGTTTTGTTTTGGGGACAAACTCTGTGATATTCAGGGATTACTCCTGGCTTTATACTCAGGAAATCATCCCTGGTGGGACTCAGGAGATCCTGTGGGGTGCCAGGGATCAGAAACCCCCCCCCCCCCCCGCCTCTACCCCTGTCAGCTGCCTGCAAGACAAACGCCCTCCCTGCTGGACTGTTGCTCCAGCCCGGCTCTCAGCTCTCTGTTGCATATGCTGGTCAGATTCTCAGCGTAGCCCTCAGATTGGGGCTTGTTATCCGGGAGAAATGAGTTTACAAACCCAGAGAAGCTGTTCAGGATTTAGTGCCCCTATTGGACCAGAGCAGCCGCGTAAGAATTTCAAAAACTGACCCCTCAGTGTGCTGAACTGAGGACATGCTTCACTTCTGGAGGTCTTGGTTTGAACCCCAGCACTGCATGCTGCCCTGGGCACTGTGAGGAGCTTCCCTTGAGCACAGAACCAGGAGCATCCACTGAGCACCGCCGGATGCGGTCTCCTCCAGAGAGAGAGAAAGAGAGAGAACCCACATGAGCTGGTTCAGGGGAGATGGCTGGGAAGTACCAACTTCCATCCACAACACTGCGTGGTTCGCGGGTGGCCCCAGCATTGCTGGGCTGGAGCATTAACCCAGTGGATTAAGTATTGGCAGGGATGGCCGGCAGTCCAGTTTTTTCGACTAGACATTATTATGGTTGTGGGGACCACGCCCAACTATGTTTGGGCAGGTGGTGCTGGCCCTTGGCACGGGCTCACGGGCTACCCCCCCTTCATGGCTGCCCCTGACATTTGGATTTTAGCCCGAGATCCAGGTTTCCTGCGGCTGCAAAGCCTGTGCGCGTGTGGAACCCGATAGCTCTCAGTCCCTGGGTCTACACCGTGGCGGGGCTGTCTGAACCCCCACAGGCGCCCACCAGCTGCTCCCAGGATCTGGTGGGGAAACTTAACTCTAGGACCCCAGCCTCGATTTGCCCATTCGCAAGACGGGGTTACTAATTCCCAGGCAGGGGATAATGTGGGGGCCAAATAAGGCACCCCGCGGTGGCCAGGGTGAGCGTCCATCAGCTTTAGTGACCCTGCGCATGCAGCTGCGGTCCAGCCAGTGGGAAACAGCGGACAGCTCTCTGGCGCCACCGCGCGGACGAACAAGGCTGTTGCGCTCTTTCCTCGCTTGAGTGCACGCGGCGGCAGCAGGCCTGGGAGCGCTCCCGCAGAGACCCCCATATATCATCTCTGACCCCAACAATCCTCAAGGGGCCAGCACAGAACCAGGTCGCCTAGCCCGTCTGGCGGGGTCCCTCTCTTTCCGCAGGAACCCTGTCGCTTCCACATGCAGCCACCAGAGGGCGCCGCGGAACCCGCTAAATTTGCTCTGGGTGAGGCTTGAAACTCCTGTTTCACAAGTCATGGTTGAGGGGCGCAGACTAACACCTTAATTACCGCCCCCCACACCTTGTTCTCTCCGATCTCACCTCGTCCCCCCACCTCCCCGCCAGCCTCCAGATACCAGTTCCCTTTGCTTTTCCTCAAGGCTCACCCTGCTCCGCCTCTTACAAGCTCCTGCCCTGGGACCTTGGAATTGGTGAATCTTTTTTTTTCCCCCTTTTTGGGTCACACCCGGCGATCCACAGGGGTTACTCCTGGCTCTGCACTCAGGGATCACTCCTGGTGGTGCTCAGGGGACCATATAGGATGCTGGCAATCGAACCTGGATCGGACACGTTCAAGGCAAACACCCTATCCGCTGTGCTATCGCTCCAGCCCCCTGAATTGGTGAGTCTTTGGGGGTGCTCTTCCCACCCTCATATTTCCCCCATGGCTCCCTCCCTCTCTTCTGCGTGTCTCTGTTCAAATGTCCTTGCCTCACATCTTCCTTTTCCGCCAGCTCCTTCCTGTACGTTGGGGCCGGTTGTGCAGGTTGCACACTGCACCTGAGAGGGGAGGGAGAGCACGGTGGTGCTCTGCTCATTGAGCTCCTAGTAGCTGGGGGTGTTCCTTCGCTCACACGAAGGCTTTCTAGCGACAGACCAACAGCCACTGTGCCCCTCTTTGATGGATACATACCCTAAACGGATGCCCATGCCTGTCCCCCCAAACAAGATCTTATTTGGTAGTAGGGCTAAACAAGTTAAGATGTGGTAGTAATAAGACAGGTGGTGGATGAGGCGGGTGAGGGGTGGCAGTGCTTGGGGGACCATATAGGATGCTGGGAATTGAACCCGGGTTGGCCACGTGCAAGGCAAATGCCCTAACCGCTGTGCTATCACTGAGTCGCAGGGGGCAGTCAATGTCCTAGCTGAGGATTTCCAGATTCCTTCCCGTGAGTAAAAGTTTATTTCATGAGTCCAAAGATAGTAGAGGGAGGGGTGGGGGAAGGCTCCTTGCTTGACATGCAACTGACCCTTGGTCAGGCTCCCACACCCACATATGGTCCCTACCGGGGGTCATTCACTCCTGAGCACAGAGCTGGGAGTCCCCTCAGAGCACTGTTGAGTCTGACTCAACCCAGCCCCCCCCCAACGAAAATGCAATTCTGTCCTGCATTGTTGGGGGGGGGGCACTTCTGCACATCCTGGGGCTCCGTGGGGCTGGAGATGGAGCCCAGGACCTCACACACACGTGGCCCATGTGCCACGGCGGAGTCCCACCAGTCCCTGCATCTCTTTTCCTTCCAGCACCTCCCCTGGGGGATGGGGGTCTGGAGTCACAGCGAACAGGACAACCCCCCTCCCCCTCCCCCCGCTGGCTTCCTCCCTGTTCTAGTCTGACACCCTCCCTCCCCACACCAAACACACACGTTGGCATGGAGCTTGTGTCTTCAGAAGCCACCTGTGAGTTATCCTGTGAACAAGGGTCTGGACCCCCCAAACATTGAGTAGGCAGATTCTTCCTACTGTGGCAAGTAAGGGTCTGCTCTGAGCTTTAGAGTGGGGTGGGACCGCCTCTTTTTTTTTTTCTCTTTAGGTCACACCCGGTCGAGGTTGCTCCTGGCTCTGCACTCAGAAATTACTCCTGGTGGTTCTCAGGCAACACTATGGGATGCCAGGGATCGAATCCGGGTCAGCATGTGCAAGGCAAATGCCCTGCCTGCTGTACTATCTCTTCAGCCCCCTGGGGCAGCTCTTGTGCTCTTTGTGACTGTATTACTATTTATTGGGGAGCTCTGGGGGCCACACCCGGCAGTGCTCAGGGAGGCGCAGGTGGTGGCGGGGATGTAAGTGGGATCAGTCATGTGCAAAGCAAGTGCTTCCACCTGTCCCTGGGCCTGACTGATGTTAAATGGCCCTCGCGTTTAGGGTGTCATGACAGAAATGCCAATGGGTCACTGAGACTCTACGGACCAGCCTGGCTCAGACCACGCACACCACAGGGGTCCCCATCAGGTGTTACTGGGCCGAGCAGGTATGTGAAGTTCAGTGGACCCCCCTATGAGCCCGCACTCAGACCTCCCCACAATCCCACCAGCCCGATCTCTCACTCTGGGTGTGAAAGGGCCCCCTGGGCGGCTGGGGAGGGCTTTGTGGAAGAGCACTTGCTTTGCAGCCCTGAGGTCTAGAGTCAGAACCCCGGTGCCTCTTACATGCACTCAGGCCACAGCAAAGTGGGTCATCACAAGGACAGTCAAGGGAAGGGAGGGAAAAATGATACAGAACCGCAGACAGCGGGCTAGAGCGATGTGAAGTTCTGAGCATCATTGGGTGTGGTCCAAACCCCCCCAAAACAAAATGCAGACAGGTTGAGGAACCGGTCCAGCTGTCTGTGGGGCAGACTCTCGGCGCTGGGCCAGCAATACAGCGTGGAACCAGGAGGCTCTAAAGAAAAACGCAGGACCCCAAAGCAGGCTCGTCCTGCCCATGTGGGCTGCAGAAACCCTCCCCAAGCACCACCTCTCAGAAGGAGAGGGTCTTCAGAGCTCGTGGTCGCCTCTCCCCCACCTCCACCCCCACCCCCGCTGCATCCCCTGTGCCTGGCGGAAGTGGTCCTCGCGGCTCCCCACCCCCATCGCCAAAGACCCGAAAGCAGCGGGGCCAATGGGGTCGTGGGTACAGTTTTAAAAAAAGGATCGGCTTTTAATTTACAAGAGTTCTAAATGTACAGAATTCTCCCTTAAAAAATTGTTATACACAATAAATACAGTACAAAAACAGTTATTTTACAGTACTCGTTTCGACTCCGCGATTCCAAAATCCGGCGCAGGCGGCTGGCGGCACAAAGAGCCGAGGAAGACTGGAGGGCACTGGGGCCCTGCGGGGGCGCGGCGCGACGCTGGGAGCCCCACGGGGCGGGGGTGGGCCCGCGGGGGGCAGGAGGAGGCCCGGCTGCTGCCCCCCACCCCCGCAGGCCCCTGGACACGGATCCGTGAAGCCACAGGACCACCAGGAGCTCTGAGCTCCCGGGTGCCCCGTGTGCCCCACGTCGGGGCGCAGCGTGAAGGAGGAAGAACCGGGGCAGACCAGAGTGGCCCCCTCCCCTAAATCCGACCCCCCACACCCGGGGCCGAACCCTACTCCCCCACCCCCAGCCGGAGCACGGAGGTGGGGGGTGGAGGGAGGCCTTTGTGACTCAAATAACTTAGGCAAGAAACTGGGGGGCGGGGCGGGGGTTCCCAGCTGTGCCCCCGGAGGCTGAGGTCTGCGTGGCGGGCGCGAGGGTCCCCCCGCGGGGCAGCCCCCCGCTGTTATCTGTCCCATGTCCTGGCGCCCAGGCCGCCGTTGTGGCTGGCGGGCGGGTAGGCGTCGGGCCTGTGCAGGGGCGAGCGCGCGGCGGGTGCGGGGTGCGGGTGCGGGGCGGGGGGGCGCGGGCGCGCCGGCGGCGGGGGGCCGGCCCGGGGCCTGCTGCAGGTTGAGGATGCTGTCGATGGCGCTCTGCAGGTGCTCGGTGAGCGCCGCGTCCTGCGGGCTGTCGCTTGAGAAGCTCGCCTGGTCCACATCCGGCGACTCGGACTTGCGCCGCTTGGCGGGGGGCAGCGCGGGCAGCGGGGGCCCCTCCCAGGCCGGCTCGCGGCTGCCGCTGCCCTGGCCGGCGCCGGCCGGGGGTTCGGGGGGCGCCGTCTTCAGCATGCGCTGGTACAGCTCGTCCTCCACGGCGGCCAGCTCGCGGATCAGGCCGCTAGTGGCCTCGTCCACCTTGCTGGGCAGCGGCGGCGGGGGGGAACTGCCCGCGCGCGCCCGGCCGGCCGCCGCGCCCCCGTCGGCCGCGCCCGGCGCCTCCACGTTCTCCCGGTAGGTCTTGCGCAGGGGCAGGCGCGGGCAGTGCGGCGCCGGGGCCTTGCGCTCGGCCGCGGGCGGGTGCTCCACGGAGCCGTTCATCTGGCCGGGCGCGGGCAGCGGCGGCGGCGGCGGCGTCTCGGCCGCCTTGAGGGCGCTGGGCGGCGGCTGGTGCACGGGGTCCAGCGCCGTGTTGTGCACCACCTTGCTCAGGCCGGCCTCCTGCTTGATCTTGAGCTTCAGGCCGATGCGGCTGCGCGCCTCGTACGTCTTGATGGGCGGCCGGTTGCGCGAGGGCATCGGGCCGTCCTCATCGGCGTCCAGGGCCGAGGCGGCCGGTGAGGCCGCCGCCGCCGCCCGGGCCCAGGTGACCGATGGGCACCCGCCCGCGCCGCCGTGCCGGATCACCAGCTTGGTGGGCAGGTGCAGCGGCGGCGGCGCCGGGGCCCCGGCGGCCGCGGGCGGCGGGTGGCCGGGCCCCGCGGGCCGGGGTCCCTCGGAAGATGCGGTGACGGGGAGGCCGAGCGAGCGCGAGGAAGACACGTATTCGTCTGCAGGTGGCAAAGAGCCCTGGGTCACCGGGCGCCCTGTGTGCCAGCGTCCCCGCATGCCCCGGCTGCTCCTGCGACCCTCCGCCCTCCTCTCTCTGTTCTTTTTTTTTTTTCCCCTTCTTTTTGGGTCACACCCGGCGATGCACAGGGGTTACTCCTGGCTCATGCACTCAGGAATTACTCCTGGGGGTGCTCGGGGGACTATATGGGATGCTGGGAATCGAACCTGGGTGGGCCACGTGCAAGGCAAACGCCCTACCCACTGTGCTGTCGCTTCAGCCCCTCGCTCTGTTCTTTCCCTATCTGCTGCGGGGCTGGGGGAGCACCTGACACCCCCACCTCCCCTCACGACCCCACGGGAATGGAAGCAGAGGGCCAGGCCAGGCTTGGGGGAGCTGGTCCCCCCCGCTTGGCTCACCTGGCTTCTCCTTGGCCAGCTGCTTGTCCAGTGCGAGGGTGGTCTTCTCCTCTTGGATGAACATCCGGTCAATCATGACCATCTCTGCCGAGGGGCTCACCCTCTGAGGGGGAACAAAGAACCTCCAAGTGAGGAGAGGGGGCAGGGAGGGCGCCAGGCCTGCTGGAGGACCGGAAGGGAACCCCACAGCCCTACCCGGGACTCCTCCAGCAGAAGGAGGCGGTATTTATTGAGCATCGCCTGGGTCCTCTTCAGCAGCTGCGTGGAGACCGTCTCGAACTCCTCATCCACTGCAGAAGAAGGGACAAGGGCGGGTGGGGACAGATGGTGGGTAGGTGCTGTCCCCCTCCCCTCCGCCCCAACACAGGAGGACCCCAACACAGGAGGGTCCTGGGCCTCACCCTTGTGATAGTCGCTGGGGGAGGGCAGGGCGCCCTGGTAGACGTGGTAAGGCAGGAGGCGGTGCAGAGCATCCTCGAAGGAGGGGAAGGCGGTCTTGTAATCGGGGTGCAGGACGGAGCCCTGATGTTTGTGCAAATGCTCCAGGAAACTGGGGGGCAGAGGGTCGGGGGAGAGACCACGCACCGCCGGTGTGAGGACAGGACAAACCCCATCCTGTCCTGTCGTGTGCAGAGCAAGCTCCCTGCCCGTCCTGGCCCCTCACCCCCCACCATTTGATGGAGGGCGCTCAGGTAAAGGACCCACGTCCTGACTGTTCCGCATCCTGCCACTGGGGGGCAGCACCACGCCGCGCTGCCTCCACAGGGATGTAGTGGGCACTGGCACCCCCCCCCCCCCCCACACACACACACACAGGTTCCCACCCTGTGCCCGGGGAATCTGTCACCCTGGTCCTCCCCAGCTCTGCTGGGGATTGACTGTGTGGTGGCCGTGTGGAGGCAAACACTCCAGGGAAGTGCCAGTCACCAGCAATGAGGAAACATGCCAAGTGTTCCACCAATCCCCAGGGGCTCCCGAGAGCTGGGGGGTGTGGAACTGGGCCCACACCTGGCGATGCCCAAGACTGAGGCGGGGTCAGCCACCAGCCCCCAGGCCAGCATGTGGCCCTGCTCTCCCAGATGTACTCACCAGGCCTCCTTGCTGGGCTGCAGCGTGGGCTGCTTCTTGGCACTACCCAGCCGGCTCTCACCCTGCGGGGACAGCAAGTGAGGGCGTGGCGCCCCCTCCCGGGACCCCAGGAAGCCCCACCCTGGGGGCTGCCCTCCACCTGTAACATCTCCCAGGACCCGCCAGGCTCGCCTCCCTGCTCTAATGAGGGACCCTGCCTCAGTTTCGCTGCTGGGTCCCTCCCCACGCTGGGGTCGTCTTGTCTCCTCTCCCGGCATTCAGTGCGTCACTGGCCTGCCTTGCCCCTGCCCCCTTCCCAGACTCACCTGCAGTCCCGAGGACTTGCCCACCTTGGCCACACTCAGGGGCGCGAGGTTGCTGGGAAAAGACTTGCTCTCGGCAGGAAGCAGAGGAGGGTGGCCTGGGGGGAGGCGGGCAGACAGGGCTGGGGTCACTGTCCCCCCACACCTGTCCTCAGGTCAGGAGACGGTCCCTCCTCCTCCACCTTCCCTGCCCCAGTGTGGGCAGTCCCATGCCGGCCTCGTGACCCGCCCTCTTCCCCCCCACCTCTCCTGTGTCCCCCACCTACCTGCAGTGGTCATGGGTGATGGGGCAGGGGGATGGCTGGGGGCAGCGACAGTTCCGGATGGGACCTGCCCGCTGACCAGCACCGAGGCAGTGGGGCTGGCATGGGGCCCCAGGCTGGTGGAGGTCTGGGGGGCGGCGGGGGTCCCCCCAGCCTTGTTCTGGATAATGATTCCAGTCGGCACCTGAGGTCGGGGGGACAGGTGGTTGAGGGGTAGGGCAGGTGAGGGGCACAGGGAGGGAGGCAGGGACCGAAGGGGGAAGTCAGGGGCCAGTTACCTGGTGAAACCTTTCCAGAAGACCCTTGGGCTGGGGCAGCGCGGTGAAGGGGGGTGTCACCATCTGGAAGCTCCGAGGAGGTGGCGGTGGGGGTGCTGTGGGTTCGGGGACCAGGTGGAGGGTGGGAGGGGGCGTGGGGGACTTGTGGGGTCCCTGACCGGCTGGGAACTGGAGCTGGAAGTCGGCCGTTGTTGGGGCTGACAGCCTGGTGGGTGTCTCGGAGGAGGTGGCAGGTGTGGCAGAGGAGGTGGAGGCTGAAGGGAGGTGGGGGGCCGAGGGCAGGGGTCCCTCTGGGGGCTGGGACGGGGGGCGCAGAGGAGGCTGGGGTGGGCCGGGGGCAGTGGGGGCCGGGGGACCAGCAGGTGGGGGGACACCCAGCTGGTTCTGGATGACAAAGATGCCCGGCAGGGGGGCGGGGGCCTGGGGCGGGGGGCAGGGGTGCAGGGCGGGCTCTGAGGGCGGGCGGGACAAGGTCTGGGGCTGGGAGGGGGGCCGGGAGTGTGGGCGGGAGGGGGGCCGAGAAGGGGGTCGGGCCGGGTGCGGGGAGGGCAGGTGCGGGCTGTCCCCCAGGGGGGCCTGGTGAGGTAGTGAGGGGGACGAGGCAGGGCCGGGGCCCTTCAGGGGAGCCGCTGCAGGAATCTGGGTGAGGAGGGAGGCAGAGGGGAAGGGTCAGAACCAGCCCTCCAGGACCCCCTTTCACGCCCAACTGGGGCTGGAAGGGCTTCATCAGAGTGCTCCTTCCTCCTGGAACCCCCTACCCCCACGCACCCCTTCTCCACACCCCCAGCGCTCCCACAAGGCGAGCCCCGCAGGGTTGGGGGAGCAGAAGCAGAAGGAAGCAAGTGCGGGGGGTGCTGCGCCAGCTGCCCAGAGGGGAGGCGGGGGCGGGGCCAGCGCCAGGGGGCGGGGTGAGCGGTCAGTGAGCAGTACCGCCGGACCCTGCTGTAAGCTGAAGCCGAAGCCGGGAGCCCAGAGCCTGCAGCCAGCCCGAGGGTGGGGACAGGAAGACAGGAAGGAGGGCAGGACACGGCAGGGGCCCCCCTCGTGGCTCCTGCGCTGTGAGGGGCGTGTGTGCACGCGTGTGACGGAGGTCACGCCCACCGTGCCGCCTACATGTCTCAGCTGCAGACAGGTGCTCCCCACCCCCAGAGACCCTCACTGTGGCCAGACCCCACCCCCAGGCTCAGTGGCTGCAGTCAGTGCCCCTGTCCCGCCTCTGCTGCCCAAGGCCCCCCAAACTGCCCTGCTCCCGAGTTGGACTGTGCTCCAGGCCAGCAGTTGGCTGTCCAGGAGGCGTCTGACGGTTCCCGTGTGCTCGGGGCTTCTCCACCTCCCAGGTCCTTCCTGCAGCCCTGCCCAGCCGGAAACTGAGCAGTTCCGGGCAGTTCCAAACCAAGTGGCCCCGTGTCCATCCCTCTTTCTGACCCTCCAATCATCCATCCTCCATCTACTTCATTTTGTTTTTTGGGGGGCCACACCCGGCGATGCTTAGGGCTTTCTCCTGGCTCTGTGCCCCGGAATCACTCCTAGCAGTGCTGGAAGGACCATATGGGATACTGGGGATCACACCTGGGTTGGCTGTGTGCAAGGCAAGCCCTGGCCCCTGTCCTCCACCTGTTCACCCACCATCCTCCGACTTGCCATCCCCCTCTCTTACCCACTTCCCCTTCTATCCTTCATCCCTCTATTCACCCATCATTTCTTCTTCCACCTGCATCCCCTCACGGCCTTGATCATCCACCCCCCATCCCTTTGTACAACCTTCTCGTTCCTTCCACCCATTCATCCATCACAGCCTCCTCCTGGCCACCGTCCCTGCAAGTACTGCTTGGGCCCCTCCACTCATCTCCGAAGTCTCCACTCAGGAGGGACGAACGCACCTCAGCTTCCCTCACCCTGGCAGGAGCAACTCCCCCATGGGATGCAGCCATGCAGTGACAGGTGGGGCAGGCGCCTTCAGACCGTGTCGCCATGTGCCTGAGGGGGACATGCTCACAGGAGGGGGGCAGCTGGACACACCTCAGTCTACACCAAGGACTTCACAACCCTCCTGAGCCCCTAAACCCATGTCTCAGGGCTTGGTGAGGAGCAAGCAGAGAGTGGGAGATCCCTGCAGGACCTCCAGACCCACCCACTCACAAATCCTTTCATTGGAGAAACGCCACAGGCCCACACTGTCAGAACCACTTGGAGCTCATGATGCTCAAGGGTGACTCTGAGTTAAATTTTTGGTCACTGAAAATTTTTCGAAAATTTTTAACTGGGACTGGAGCGATAGCACAGTGGGTAGGGCGTTTGCCTTGCATGCAGCCAACCCAGGTTCGATTCCTAGCATCCCATATGGTACCCCGAGCACTGCCAGGAGTAATTGCTGAGTGCAGAGCCAGGAGTAACCCCTGTGCATTGCTGGGTGTGATCCAAAAAGCAAAAAAAAAAAAATTAACTGTTGACCTACAGTCATGACCTACAGTTTAAGAAGCTGGGTTTAGCTTAGTCCCACCCAAAGTCAGGGACAATTGACTAAAAGGAGCCAGAGGAGCTGTGCAGGGGTCCAGCACCGGCCTTGCATGAGGCTGACCCCGGTCCCATCCCCAGCACGACAGTCCACAAAGCACAGCTAGGCGTGAGCCCTGGGCACCAATGGATGTGGGGGCTTCCCCTGGCTGCAAAGGAGAAAAAAAACCCAGCTAAGGCAGGTGTTCTGGGCTGGGTGACAGCATGCTCCCAGGGACAGCTTTGCTGAACTGTGGCCAAATAAGGTCTCGTTCGAATAAGGACCAAAATTCACCAGGTGGGGCTGGAGCGATAGCACAGCAGGTAGGGCATTTGCCTTGCATGCGGCCAACCCGGGTTCAATTCCCAGCATCCCATATGGTCTCCTGAGCACTGCCAGGAGTGATTCCTGAGGGCGGAGCCAGGAGTAAGCCCTGTGCATCATTGGGTGTGGCCCAAAAAGCAAAAACAACAACAAACCCCACAAAATTCACCAGGTGAAGGGTGAAGGTAGATGCCTGTAACCAGCTCAGCAGGTCCTGGAAAAACTGTCCATACCAAGTCTGCTAGGGAATATACTGTCACTTTGTTCACCAGTGGCGGCCAGCTCCCTGGTGCCACGGCTCCTCCCCTCTGGTCTGGGGCAAGGCCCCAACAGAAAGGGGCTGAACAAGCTGGAGCAATAGAATGGTGGGGAGGGCATTTGCCTTGCACGTGGCCGACCCAGGTTCAATCCCCGGCATCCCACATGGTTCCCTGAGACCCGCCAGGAGCAATTCATGGATGCCAGGAGAACCAGGAGCAACCCCTGAGCACCGCCGGGTGTGACCCCAAACCAGGAAAAAAGGGAGGATGCTGGGGAGATCACAGGATCCTTCCCTGGGAAGATCTCACTTGCCCCCCCCCCCCCCCCCGCTGGCCCCCTCATTCTGGGGGCACCAAATGAGGGCAAACAGGCCCAGCTCACCGCAGGTACTTAATCCCTCATCACTCATAGGTCAAGAGCAATCACGAGCAACAACCAATGGGAAACGGGGCGGACCCAGCCCTGCACAGGGTATAAGGGAGGAAAGAGCTTCCAGCATCTCACTCCATGCTGCCCGCCTCAGCCTGGGCCTGGAGCCCGGCCACAGACCTGCTTGTGCCACCAGGAAGCAGTGGCCTGTCCTGTGGGAACACTGTCCCTGGGGACCCTCCTGAGGGTGGGGCGAAGAGTCAGTTTGGCGGCTTCTCCAGGGGAAAATGACTGGACAGCAGTCAGGCAAACCGCCAAGGGCACGGTGGCCCCGATCTGGCCGTGAGGCTCTGGGAAGTGACCGCCACCAGCTACACCGAGGGTGGGTGAATTCGCTCAGAAAGACACCATCCGTGGACAGGGCAGCAAGCCCCACCAACTGCAGAAGCATGGGTCAGCTACTGAAATTATCTCTGGGGGCCAGAGTAATAGTACAGTGTGGAGGGCATCTGCCTTGCAGGGTCGATCCCTGGCTTCCCACATGGTCCCCTGAGCATCACCAGGAGTTATCCCTGAGCACAGAGCCAGGAGTGACCTCCAGGGCACTGCCAGGTGTGATCCCAAACCAAATAAAAAACTCAAAGAAATGATAACTCTGTCCCCTCCCCTCATCTGCAAGTGGGCCATCATGCCGCTTGCCTGATATGACATTTAAACAAAAGCAGTCATGGGAGGGGCTACAGGACAGCAGGCAGAGTACCAGGCTGTGCCTGACCTGGATCCAGTTCATGGTCCCATGGCAGGGGCGCCTTTGGGGTGGCCCTACACATCGCGGCAGTGTAGGTCCTGACCCCCTGGCCACGTCCTGGGGCTGTCACATGGCTGCTGGAGAATCACTGGTGTGGCCGCACCAAAAAGTGAAAGATAAAAGGGGCCGGAACAGCCATACAGTGGGGAAGGAGCTCGCCTTGCACACAGCACACCTGGGCTCAATCCCCGGCACCCCATAGGGCCCCTGGATCCCCACCAGGAGCGACCCCTGAGCACAGCTGGATGAGGGCCCGCCAAAACAAAACTAAACTGCAAGGAAAGAAAACGCCTATGAGGTGCTTGGCCCTACAGCAAGATAAGTCTGTCCGCGACGGTGGCATTAGGACCCTAATACTGCCCCCTGCACCCCCATCTGGGGCCTCCAAACCCGACAGAGCTTCGAACAGTCTGTGCCTTCCATTTACTCCACTGCCACCAGGACATCTGGTCTTGGTGCCACTGCCATCTAGCCCCTGGGTGCCTCCACCAACCTCTTGTGTGTGTGTGTGTGTGTGTGTGTGTGTGTGTGCGCGCGCGTGCGCGTGACACTGTGCAGTGCTGGGCTTGGGACCTGGCACGTCCTCAGGTGAGTGTTGGACTTTCCCTCTTGTATGTCCCCAACCCCCCCTTTCGTGCGAGAGGGGTCACCAACAAATGCCAAAGCCCAGCTTCATGAGGCCCTGCCCACACATGGCTCCCAGGATGCCCCTCTTCCTATCCCCCCAATCAGCGCCAGCACTTCCCTGACTCAGGGCCTTTGCAAATGTGGCTCCAGCAATGCAGAGCAGCCCCTGCCCCTTTCCCGATGCCACCACGAGCTTCAGGCTCACTTTTGCCTCGGCTCTCTCTGGCCAGGCAGCCCCTCTCCTCATCCCTGACTCTCAAGACTGGCCCCTAGCATTGAATCGGACAATGGGCGTATGTGGATCCTGTGCTCAGCACTAACAAATCCATCTGCTCCTCTGAGCCCTGGAAGGAACTGGCTGGGCTAGAGCTCAGTGGGGAAGCCCGGGTTCGGCATGTCTGAGGCTCTGGTCTCCACCTTCAGTTGGATGCCCCTCCTAAAGCTGTTTCTATTAATTTTAATCTAAAACTATTTCTGGAGGGGGAGGGCACACCCGGCAGCACATGGGGCTCTGTGCCTAGGGGGGTGGGGATGCTGGAACCCACAGTATCCTGGACACACGGCCCATGCTCCAGCCCTCAAGTTAAGCCATCTCCCCAGTCCTTTCGCTGGTTCTTTGGTTTGGGGCCACACCCAGCAGTGCTCAGGGCTTACTCCTAGCTCTGCACTCAGGGACACCACAGTGCCAGGGTGAGAACTTGGACTGGCTCCATGCAAGACAAGGTGCTTCTTGCCGTGCTAGCTCTCAGGTCCTGGGTCCCAAAGACACATGACACCCACCTTCCACAGTGTGCCCCCACCCCCGACGCTCCAAGATGAAGGCTGGGCTCCGGAACACGCAGAGACAAGAAAGCAGCCGGGAACTCAGATGGCAAAGGAGTGGAGCGGAGCTGACAGGCGGGAGCAAAGCAGACAAAGTGCTCACGTGGTGGAAAATCCACAAAACACGTGCCAGTGGAACAGTGCAATGAAAACACAAGGGCCAGAGTGATAGTCGAGCAGGAAGGGCATTTGCCTTGCATGCACCTGATCCGGGTTCAAGCCCCAGCATCTCACATGGTCCCATGAGTGCTGCCAGGAGTAATTCCTGAGCATCGCCACGTGTGACTCAAAAAGCAAACACAATGAACAAAAAACCCACAAAGAAATAAGGGGAAGATACTTTCACGCCTCCACCAAGGCTGAGAACAAATGCACCCCAAGCATCTGTGGCTGTGGACAGCCTCTAGCTAACCCAGCCACTCCACACCCGCCCCCCGCCAGACTCTACCTGCAAAGGGGCAGACCAGGGGTGGGGGGGCAGGGGTCCCAAGAGCCCAGAGACGACAGCGATAGGAATGCCGAGCAACAAGAATCAAAGAATCCGTCACACAGGAGCACGGGCATGCCCTGGACACACATGGCCTCCTGGGAAACCTGGGGCGACCACACCAGCTCCCCCGCACTGAAGGGAAGGACACGGGACGCAGCCCGTGTGCACAAGAGCCAGATGTGGCGGAATGAGCAGAGATGGAAAACGGGAGCTTTACAGGAGATGGGGGCACCAGGCGCCTGCAACAGCAGGGGGCGGAGAGGACCCCACCGGTCTTGTTTATGTGTACGAGGGAGCAGACGCAGGCAGTGCTGAGGGCGGCATGGGGGTGGGTTCTGCCACACGAAGGTGAGGGGACACTGACACCGTCCACTCCCCGCCCGGAGCACCAGGACCTCCAGCACCCAGGCAGTCAGGAGAGCCCCCCCGGGAGCGCAGGGGGCCCATCCCAAGCCAGCGAGGCAGAGCGGCGGAAGGGCAGCCAGAGCGGGGCGGGCGCGGGCTGTGCGGGCAGCGGCTGCAGCGGCTCTACCTGGGGGCCCGATGCCGGGGCAGCCTGGCTGTCGGGGGCCTGCGGGCCCGGGCCGGCTCCTGTGCTGGCGGGGGTGCTCGGGGCTGGGTCTTGTGAGGGAGGTGGGGCGCTGACTATGACCGAAGCGGGCACGGAGAGGTGGGGGCCCTCTTTGGAGAGGGGCTGCTGGCTCCTCTCCTGCAACAGGGAGGCCGTGCTGGGGTCAGACGGCCCCTCAATTCCCACCCCCGCTGACTCCCCCCACCACCCCCGGTCCCACCCTCAACTCCTGCCAGCCTCCCTGACTCCCAGGCCCGCACTCCCACCCCCGACTCCCCCCAGTACCCATCATCCCCCGATTCCCACCTCCCGACTCCCCCCAATGCCCAAACTCCCCCCCAACTGACCCCTTCAACTCCCACTGCTCCCTCCCTGCCTCCCCCACCCTAGATATACAGAGGGAACAATGGGTCCTGGCTAGGGGGACCCTTTGATACAGGTGCAGAGGCCGGAGCCTCTCGATCCAGGCCCCAGAGCGTCCCCACCCGCCGTCTGTCCATGCCCGCCCCCTGCCTGACAGCCCCCGTGCCCCGTGGAACCACTCCAGCAGGGCAGCCTTCTCCTGTCTGTCCACTCTTGGGCTCCTGCCCCACACCCACCAGCCCCGGCGCTGTTATGCCCCCCTCCCCACCCAGCGCCCTTTCCCATGCCCGGGTACCTGGGGCAGGAACATCTGCAGGGGCTCCTGAGTGAGAACGGCCGTGGCGGGGGCCCCCGATGGCGGCTGCCCCAGGACGATCTTCTCTGGGCTGGCCGCCAGGCCCGGACTGGGCTGTGGGGTGGAGGCCTGAGGCGGGGCGGGGGCCTGCGAGGGCGGCGGGGCCTGCGGCTGGAGGCCCAGCGGCAGCGGCGTACTGACCGCCGGGGGCGCTTGGGGCGCCGCCTGCACCGCCAGGACTGGCGTAGCCTCCCCAGAGGCGGCGGCACTGGCAGGTGGCACCAGCCCTTCAGGGGTGTTGAGCATGGCCACGGCGCTGGGGGGCAGGGTGACCCCCTGGAGCACAGTGGTGGCGGCGGGGCCAGCGGGGGCCGGCTGACTCTGGGTGGGCAGGCTGCCGGCGGCCAGCGACACGGGCATCTGGAAGAGGGCGGGCTGGCCCACCTGGATGGGGGCGGCCGAGAGGATGTGGGCCGCGCTGTGCGGGCCCGAGTGGGGCGCCAGCACGGGGCCCAGGCTCAGGGGGCCCGCCAGGTTCTGGTTGGTGAGGATGGGGTTGGCGATGATCTGCCCGCCAGCGTGGGGCGCGGCGGCCGCCAGGATCTGGCCCCCCACGTTGGCCGGCAGGGCTGAGAGCGGCTGGGGCAGCTGCACGGCCGAGGCGCCGGGCAGCAGAAACTGGTTCTGCCCGGGCAGCACGTGCTGGGCCGGGATGACAATGCTGCTACCCTGGTTGAGCAGGTGGACGCTCATGGGTTTGCTCAGGGCACTGGGCGGCTGTGGCGGGGCGGCCCCGGGGGTGCTGGCCGGGGGCTGCTTGAAGACGTTGGCAGGCAGGGCGGGCGCAGGGAAGCCCGACAGCACCACGTTCTGGCCCGCCTTGCCCGCCGCCATGAAAGTCAGGTTCTGGGGGGCCTTGGGCTGCGGCGGCAGAGCCCCGGCATCGCCCTGGATGGTGAGCGTGGCACCCGCGGGGGCAAAGGGCTTGGGAGTCAGCTGGTAGAGCTTGGAGGACAGCACCCCGGCGGGCTTGGGCTGGATGGGCGTGGGTGTGCGGTGCAGGATCACGTTGGGTGCAGGCACCAGCGGCGACGTGCCGAGGCCGGGGGCCACCGCCAGCGGCTGTCCTGAGGGCGCCCCACTGGCCGCCGCTGTGGCTGCGGCTGCTGCCCCCGCGAACACAGAGTTCCCGTTGAGAGTGGTGGCCACGGCGGCTGGCAGGCTCTTCTGAATGACCAGGCCAGCTCCCTGTGGGGAGACGCCGGCCGAGGCCAGTGTTACCGGCTCCGAGGGACCGGCCGCCGAGGCCAGGTAGCCGCTGACGGGCACCTGTTTGGCCAGGAGCTGCGAGGCAGGCGGGTTGAGGGCCATGACCGGCTGGCCCACCACCTGGATGGGCGCCAGGCCCAGCGTGGCGGCTGCCGTGCCCCCAGGGCTGCCATTGGGCAGGCCCTGGAGCCCAGGGATGGGCTGCAACGTCACGTTGCCCAGGCCCATGGGCTGCAGGAAAGGCTGCACGCTCAGCGCCTTGTTCACCACGTCCGCCGGGGGCACCAGCGCCTGGTGGGCCAGCACAGTGGGGGGTGCCTGCAGCCCCAGCAAGTCGGCGCTGCCCGGGAACAGGGCCTGGGGCCCAGTGGCCACGGGGGCTGCCCCTCCAGCGCCCGCCGCCCCAGAGCCGGCGTCTGCGGGCTGCAGGGCGGGCAGCTGGAAGGGGCCCAGGTCCAGCTCGGCCTCGGCCTCCAACGTCTGTTCGGTGATGTTGGCCTCTTGCAGGCTCTGCTGTAGAATGTCACATGGCTGCTCGGCCGCTCCGGCGCCCCCGCCGCCCCCCGCGGCTGGCGAGCCCAGGATATCATCTTCCAGGAAGTCAAGGTCCACGCTGGGCGCTGGCTGGCTGGGCTCTGGGTTCAGATGGTTGCCGGAAGCTTCTTGGACATGGAGCTATGGGATGGGTGGGGGGAGTGGGGGGGGGGGAGGAAAGGGCAGAGGTCAGTAGGAGGAGGCAGCAGGCACAGACTGGGCTCTGACCCTGGCCCTGACACCAGCTGGCGTGTTTGGCCCCGCGGTCCCCCTGCACATGGGGGCTGGCCGGCGTGGACACTGGCTCACATAGCTTCACAGGCCCTGAGAACTTTGGGGAGGAAGTTTCCAAACTCAAGAGGCCAGAGGCAGGCAGAGGGGGAGCTGCTCCCCTCCCAGGCAGGGCACAGCATGGTGTGCAGGAGGCTTGGATTTGTGCCCCGAAGTTGCCCGGTACTACAGCAACATGCCAGCAGCCCCTGAGCTCTGAACACTGCTGGGCCTGGCTGCCACCCACACGACGGGCATGACAATCTCCCACCCCAGATCCAGCAGCCCCTAACAGCTGCGCGAGTTCTTAACTCTTTGGGTGATGAACCCTGACCAGAAAGGATGGGGGTACCCTTGGGGAGAAGCACACTTGTGCCTTTCAGAACTTTCTGGAACATTCTTCCTGCAACACACAAGCAGCTTGCGTCCCCTTGGAAGAATCAGCAGAATCTCTGGGTCTGAAACACGCCTAGCCCCAAGGTGCCAGACACGTGACTGGTGCCCGCAGGCCTGGGAGTTGGTGGTCACATGAGTGCTTCCTGCTGGGGCCCACTCCGGGAGACAGTGCTCAGGGCTGCGGGCCTGTGCGGGCAGGTATGGACGGGCTCTGCCACAGAGCTGCATCTCGGCCCAGCCGGCAGATGCCTTTTGGGGCTCCCCAGCTGCGCCCAGGGACAAGGGGTCACTCTTGCCAACCCTCTGTCCGGTGGTGTGGTCCTGAAGGGCCAGTGCTGGAAGCCAGCTGGGAGCTGCTGGGACTCAGGGGCAGCAGGGGGACTATAGTGTGAAAAAGCCTCCTTGTCAGGGTGTCGTGAATGATGCTGGTAGGTTCCAGTGCAGCATCCACGGGCCCTGAGCAGGGACCTTAGCAACTCGGACACCGACCCATACCGCCACCAACACCAACACTGACAAAACATCAGTGAGTTTCTGGGCAGGCAAGCTGGCTGCTCAGTGAGTGCGGGTCTCCCTTAAGTCAGGCCTGAGGCTCAATCCCAGGAGGCAACAGGCGTTGCAACCCGGAAATGCACCCAGATCCCAAAATATGAGTGAAACTTGAACAATAAACAACATATAGCGGGGACTGGAGAAACAGGAGAACAGGCAGGGCACTGGCCAGCACGCCGTATGGTCTGAGCCCCGCCAGGGGCAATGGCTGAGCAGTCAGTAACCCCTGAGCATGGCTGTGTGTGGCCCCCAGAACAACTATATAACATGGCAGCTTCGCTAAGAGTCATGATAGGCTGGGAAATGGCACAGGCCTGGCACATACCCGACCTGGTTCGATCCCTAATACCTCATGATCCCTGAGCCCCATGGGGGGAAAATGGTGGTCTGGTGACCCTCAGGCCTGGCACTGAACTGACAACCAGAGAACACCCTGTGGGGCCCCAGGCCTCCTGGGAAGCCCTGGAGAACCCCAGAAAAGGCTCATGATGGCACACAGAGATTGGCCTTCCCCACCTGTCCCCACAGTGGCATGACGGCCACCTGGGGCCTGTAGCCACAGCCCCTGTGATGGGAGAAGGTGCTGGGGTGTCTCTGGAGTGTGGGAATGAAGTGACGACCAAATCTGGCCCAGGGCAGGAGGGGAGTCATCCCCTAGGGCCCGCCCCCCCCGCCGCCAGGCGAGGCCAGGCGGAGCAGAAAGATCCCCTCTTGGGAGTCCCCCATGATGGCTAGGCTGGCAGGACTTCAGCACCCCCTCCCACCCCCACGGTCCCCGAGCAAACCCCAGAGTTGGGGTCTACCTCAACCCTCCAGGCCACTGTGGTCCTCCAAGCCCCAAGGCAGCCCTGTCCTGCAGGGGTGTCCCGGCACGGGCAGCCTGGAGCATGCCAGGCGCCGCGGGCACTTACCCCAGGACCTTCATAGAAGGCACTTTGGGGCTCCCCGGGGTTATCCAGGAGGTCATCACCATCGAGCTGCAACGAGACCCCCCCCCACCCCGGTCAAAGGTCATCCAGGCAGGCCAGGCTCGGGCCAGAGACTTCTTAGGGGCAAAAAGCAAAACAAGGCAGGAGGAGAGGGGGTGTCAGGAAACTTCCCCCAAAAGAGCCCCAGAGGACAGCACGGTGGCTCATGGGAAGTCCCAATGCCCCCATGATGCCCCCAGCCGCCCCCATACCTGCTTCAGCCCCAGGACCTGGCTGGACCCTGCAGGACAAGCCCCGGGCACCTCCCTGCCAGCTCCCTCCCAGGCCAGCAGCATGGTCTGGCCTGCAGCCAAGGCTCGTTCCTGGGGCACCCAGTGATCAAACATTGGTCACGCGGAGGTCCCCTGAGTTTCCTCTCCCGCCAGGTGCCCTTCTCAACTCCCCATGGGGACATTCACAACCCGGCCTCGACTTCCCCGACCTGTTCCCAAACCCCTTTCCCTGCAAACATCCAGTGCTCAGGCCCAAATCCAGGGTGCAGAGGGACACCATCCCAGACCCCGACTCTGGGACTCCAGCCCCCCTGTGCCCAAGCATGGTCCAATGGTCCAGCAGCCCTGAAGGGACCACCCACGGTGTGGGGGGGTGCATCCCCACCCCACCAGTCCTCATGGAGGCCTGCGGCCAGGGGACCAGACAGGCCTTCATGGAGCCTGGGCCTGCACATGTGGGCAGGACCAGTCCAAGACCCCCAGATCTGCAGCACTGCGTTACTGAGGGCGGGAGAGGATCACAACCCCTGCCCAGGTCCCTCTGAATCCAACCCTCCCATCTTCTCCCCCATCTGCCACCCTCACAATGCCGAGGCTCTTGCCGGCCAGGCACCCCCACCAGGCTGAGTGTCCCTTTTCGGCTGGCCCCGCCTGCTCCTCCTGACTGACCCGCAGGCCACCGGGCCACACCACAGAGCCGCCTCCACACTGTACCCCATTCACTGTCTCTCAAACCACCTTCCTCTCTGCTCTGGTGCTGGGGGTGGACCCGGGCTCATGCAGGCCAGGGGGTGCCTGGTCCGGCCCCTGCCCTGGCTCTTCTCATGGGCCTGCATGGTGCCCCCCACCACAGGAGGGCATGTATGTGCTGGGTGCAGGGCCTTGGTCGCAACCCCCCACCCAGAGGTGCCCGTGGGGCCCTGGCACTCACCTTCTCGGATCCATGTAAGAAGTCATTGAGGGCCTGGGGGTCACTGGAAGAGAGAATGGGGGACAGATACTGAGTGGGAGGGGGGGCAGCACTTGGTTAAGGTGGGGTCAGGGGGCAGGGGCATGGCCAGGACAGGCTGGGGGGAGGGGCGGGACAGGGGGTGCTGGTCACTCACCAGATCACGTCTAGTAAGCATCTCCCGTCCTCATCATCCATCGCCACTGGGCGGCCGGCGGGGGTAAGGGGACAAGGTCAGTCTGCGGGAGGCACACCCCGCCCCCAGTACCCAGGGCCAACCCCCCAACCCTGGCCAGCCAGGGGGCCTCTGCGCCCTTCCCAGCCGGGTCACGCCCACGATTCCCCGCCACGTGGAGACGTGTGCAGATGCCCTGAACACGTGTGGCACCCCAAGAGGCGAAGCCCCCAGATGAAGGACAGGCCCAGGGAGCCCTCACAGCCCAATTCAGGCTGCCCGGCATCCCTGGCCTGGCCTGGAGCAGTGGGTGGGAGCTGGGTGCAAAGGACACAGTGGGTAGGGCGGCTGCACCCAGGTTCTGGAGGCTGGGAAGGGCCCTGTGGGCTCCCAGGAAGGAAAAGGGGCAGGAGGGAGGCTGGCGAGGCTGGCAGGCAAGCTGGAGACAAGGATGGGGGCAGCTTGCCCTGAAACAGCTGCTCCTGCCCTGGCCCCTGACCCCAACCCTGGCGGCCGGCCTGGCCCCTCGACTCAGCTGAGGTGCCCCCCTCAAGCGCCCCCCACCCCCAAACACACAGGCCCCCAAAAGAACTCCTTCACCCCTGACCCGTTCAGGCTGTGAATGCCTGTCTTTTTGGGGGGAGGGGGTCAGTAAACCTCCCTGAGGATGTGTCTTACTACGAACATGTGACCTCGGAAGCACCCAGAGCATTCTCAGCACCCGCAGTGTTTCCCCCCAGCCCAGCTTCCCGCTTCCCCTGTCCCTAGATGCTTAGGGGCACTCTGAAGGAGCACTGTGGGGGAGTTTGGCTTAGACCCTCCAGTCTCAATGCGAGGACTGTCCCCCAAGATGCTTGCGGCAGGCCCCCACCTCTGCCTCCTGCAGCCTACGGCACCCCCCCATTCCCACCCCTCCCCAGCCCAGGGAAGGACCAGCAAGGAGAAAGCAGGGGTGAGGGGGGCTCTGATGACCAGGGAAGGTCCCGGAACACGCAGGGCCGAGTGGGGGTCTCGGCCTGGTTACCTGAGCTACGAACGGATCATGAAGGGAAGGAGGGGGGCGTCCACTCCAGCTTTACACGGGGCCCCCGGCTGGGGACGGGGGGAGGGTGCTTTCGAGAGCCAGCTGCAGAGAGAAGGAGAATGGGGTGAGGAGGGGGGATGGGGGGGTGCGTGTAGCTCCTGCTGGAGTCGGACTCACGACCTGCCCAGGAAGGCGCTTCTCCTCCCGCTCCACCCCAGCACCACACTCGGCCCCCTGCTCTGCCAGAAGCAACCCTTGAGCACCGTGGGGGGTGTCCTCCCCCACAAGCAAGAAAAGAGTGGGAGAGGGAGCAGCAGTGAGTTTAAAGGACACGCACTCACAACATGAGCTGTCACATCTGGCAGGTTGCACACACAGATACACCCCGCCAACACACACACCCTCACATGCACAGATACATGCACACGCGTACACATATCAACACACACATACCCTCATATGCAGATACACACGCATACACACACATCAATACACACCCTCACATGTACACACAGGTACAAACACATACCCTCACATTCATACAAATACACACATACCCTCATGCGCAGCTACATGCATACACTTACGTATGATCACACACACACCCTCACATGCACACATACACACATACCTTCACATGTACGCACATATGCCCTCACATGCACATACACACGTACCATCATGTGCAAACATGCCGACACACACCCTCACATGCACACACACCAACAAATGCACACACATACCAACACATACACATATGCACATCGACACATACGCTCCCGGCACTCCCCCACACCCCCACTGCAGCACATGGCAGTGTGCACAGGTGACTCCGTCTTTGACACTCGGGCAAAAGTGGCCCGATACAGGGCCTGGAGCGGGGACCGTGTCCAGCCATGGGGAATCTCATCTCTCAACACCTCACACCAGCACAAGATGCTGCTTCAGTGCCTTCATTGCTTGGGAACATCACCAGGGCACAAAAAAAAAAAAATGCAAACACTCAGCAGGTGGGAAAAGACACCCAGGGCTGCCCTCTGGCGCCAGAAGGCGGATCTCCAAGGGCCTCTGGGCTGCAAATCCAGAGTCTGGGACCACAGCCTGCTGGCATGGGGCTGGCCTGCTATGGGCACGGCAGCCCTTCCTGCAGCCCTACACAGAGGCTGCAGCTGCTCGGCAGGGACCCGAGTCGAGGCTGGCCACCCCGTCACACTGGTCCTTCATCACACACCAGACACTCCGTACTCTAATTCCTGCCGAAAGTTGGGGACACCATGAGGCTGATACACTAGGATCAAACCAGCACGTGGGTGGTACTGGAGATTGAACTCACAGCCTGGTGCTTGCGAGGCACGTGCTGTACCACTGAGCCATCCCAGACACCTTAACCTCCACCGGCAGGAGCCCTGGTGGCCTTTGCCCCCCACCCCCACACAAGGGCAGGGTCTGCCTATGGGGGAGCTGTCTGTGGAAGAAAGGACCGTGTCTGCAGAGAGGAGGGAGCAAGTGTGCACACTCCCCAGGAGCCATGGGAAACGGCCTTCAGCGAGGCTCCCCATGGACAGGCCAGTCCTGGGGGGAAAGCCAATGGGGACCATCGCGCCAGCCCTTTCCTCAGAGGGGAGATAAAACAACTGAACGTGGCCCTGAGGAGTCCACAGGTGCCGCAGACCCCAGGGCCCTGGCGTCCTCCTGCATGGCCCGCCACCGTCTGTGCTCACTGTGCGATGCATGAGGACGCAGGGCCGGGCCAGAGGTGTACAGGGACTGGGCCACCGGGGTGCATGCCAGAGGAGTGCAGGGAGTCTGGCCACAGCTCCGAGCTCCGGGTCTGCCTGTCACAGCCTGGCCCACTGGGTCGCCAGTGAGGCCCTGGTGAGGCATGAGCTGAGGACCCCCAGGAGGCTCAGGAAGGAGGGAGCCGCCACACTCACCCCGCCCATCCCTGCCCGAATGCTATAAAAAGCCAGAGGGCCAGGGCTGGCGGGCTGGCAGCCAGCCCGAGGGAGGGGCCAGGAGGGACAATGACACAGCGCCCACATGTCCTGAGGCACAGGCCCCATGGAGGAGGTCAGTGCCCGTGATTGACCCCGACTCAGCCAGGGGTGCCCTCTGGGGGTCTCTGAGCGAAGGGCTGACAGCTTCCAGATGCTTCCCACACCCACCTGCCCGCAGTGCTATCCAGTGCCAAGCCTGTGGGTGACGCTCACCAAAGGCCACATGGACAGAACAGCACAGAGCCAGCCCTTCGCAAACTCTGGGGTGCAGCTCTGAGGGCGCCACCAAGCCAGGGGTCGGGAGTAGGGACTGTCTTTTTAAGTGGATGGGACGGAGTCAAAGGGACAGAGGCAGCCTTGCGGTCAGCACAAAAGTCAGTGTGTGACACTGCGGGTCCAAGTGCGGGGACCTGAACAGAACCAAACACATTGTGGGCTGGAGTCATGCAGCTTTGGAAGGATGCACCACGGCAGGAATGCGGTGTGGCCTTGCCCATCAGAGGCCCAGGGCTCAACAATCCAGTTCTGTGCTCCCTGGCACAGCAGACAAAGGACTAGGCTGAGACAGCGGCCTCCTGTTCCCTTGATTCAGCCTCCTGGCAGCGGAGATAGCCAGGATTCTCAAAAGCCAAAGTTTACAGTTTTGGATTCTGCTCAGTGAGACTTCCAGGGAAGTCTGGAAAATAGGGTTAAAGACAGAGCTTCTCTAGAGAGAAATTCTTGGCTCCCTGCTTCCAGCTTTGAACAGAGCTGAAATGACTGGCGCTGTGGCAGCCACTCTGCCATCAGGAGACAAACATCCCAAGGCAGGTAAGCACACCTGCCCGTGGACAGCTGAGAGTACAGGCCGAGGCTGTGATCGCTTCCTCTCCAGTCTTAAGACCTTGCAATTCTTTCAGCTGAAGCCATGGTTTGTTTCTCCATTATCTGCAGCACAATTAGACATGAATAAGGTTATCCTTCTAGATATCCTGCAGCCCCTGTCCAGGGCTCTCTCCTCATTCAGTGGAGCCAGAACCACATTCAGTGGATCACCAACAGGTCGGTGATGGGAACCAGGAAAATAGGTCACTGAGGCCAACTGCAAAGGAGGCCAGAGAGCCTCTAAGTCAGCCCCCCTAGCAAGAGACACGACCTCTAGCAGAGACACGGGCCTCGAGACTCCCAGCCTTTTAACTTGGGCTGCTTTGGGCCAACAAAATGTGGCAGACAGGATGGTACAGGGGCTCTGAGCTGGGTTGCAGGAGAATGTGAAGCACTTTTCCTCTGCCCGGCAGTCACACGGAACAGCTGGGTCATGGAGATGGGAGCGCAGACTCCAGACTGGCCCCCAGGTGCCCTGCCGCACCCCATCCCAACCCCAACCCTTGGAAGCCTGGGGTGCTGAAAGCAGTTTCACATTTTTTTTTTGTGAGTGGGGCGGGGGAGTTGGGGGGGGTGGGGAACCAAACCTGCAGCACTCAGGGCTTACTCTGGCTCTGAGCCCAGGAGTCACTCCTGGTGGGTCTCAGTGGGAGGACGTCTGGGATGCCCAGGATTCAATCCAGGTCAGACGCATGCAAAGCAAACACTCTCCCTGCTGAACTATTGCTACTTAAAACTGTGGGTTGCAACCCCATTTGGGGGTCACATACTTGAACGCGGGGTCCCGTATGATAAATTCCTTTACCAGTTCCTCTGCATAAATGTTTGATTTGCACTCCTGTGTTAGTGATATACCAGGGACCACGTGAAAAATCCTTCTGTGAAAAGGGGCTGGCTGATGCTCTGAGGGCAGAGTACATGTTTTATATGCAGGAGGCCCAGGTTCAAAGCCACAATGCTGCACGGCTGCCTGGACAGGGTGCAGTCCCCAAACACTGATGGAGGAAGCCCGAATGCTAAATAAATGTAAAAATAATAATAATTTTTTTTTTTTTGCTTTTTAGGTCACACCCGGCGATGCTCAGGGGTTACTCCTGGCTCATGCACTCAGGAATTATTCCTGGTGGTGCTCGGGGGACCATATGGGATGCTGGGAATCGAACCTGGGTCGGCCATGTTGGCTGCGTGCAAGGCAAACGCCCTACCTGCTGTGCTATCGCTCCAGCCCCAATAATAAAAATTTTTAAATTTAAAAAAATTAAAATTTTTTTTAAATAGAGAAGGGGTGGGGCTGGAGTGATAGTACAACACGTAGGGCATTTGCCTCACATGTTGCTGACCCGGGTTCGATTCCCAGCATCCCATATGGTCCCCCAAGCACCGCCAGGAGTAATTCCTGAGTGCAGAGACAGGAGTAACCCCTGTGCATCGCCAGGTGTGACCCAAAAAGCAAAAAATAAATAAAAATAGGAAGGGGTCACAAGTGCAAAGTGATTGTCCTGTTTAAGCCACTTTGAGTCAGCATGAAAGACCCAGTTCTGACCCATCCCATCCAACCGGGACGACCCCCATAGGGACAAGGACACGCGGCGCCACGTAACTCCCAGGCCCGTGCTCCCCCCCACCACCCTTCACGTGGTCCGCCGGCCCAGACTCCACAACAGACCCGGGCTCTGCACCGGAAGTTCAGGTTGGAGAAGCAGCGGCAGCTGTGCGGCGAGCCACAAGGGGGCGCTGTGGCGGGCTGCGGGTCTCCTCGGAGCCCGCGTGCAAGATCCCTCAGCCCCTTTCGGGTCCTGGGGCCAAGAAGGAAACCCTGGTGGTGGGTGCAGACCCATCCTGACACGTGAGAACCCATTGGCACAAAGCCACTGTCCCTCCTGCTGCACTGCCCTCGGAAGTAACTTTTCACCTTTTCTTTCAAAAATCGTGTTCTTCATTTTATTATTTGAGAGGTAACTTTTTTGTTTTGGGGACAAACCCAGTAGTGCTCAGGGATTAGTTCTAGTTCTACGCTTATGGGATGCAGGCAGGGATTGAATCCAGGGCAGCTGCATGCAAGGCAATGCCCTCCCAATTGTTCTATCAATCACTCAGGCCCAGACAGCCACATCTGCAGAGGAACTCCATCATGAGCTTTTATTTGTATTTTTTTTCCTTTTTGTGTCACACTCAGCAATGCACAGAGGCTACTCCTGGCTCTGCACTCAGGAATCACTCCTCGTGGTGCTTGGGGGACCA